ACGCGACAGAAGCAAGCAGCGTTGAACAATCACGCATTCCCGCGTTTCTCCTTCTCGTCTGCTCGTGTGCTGAAATTTAAAGATTCAGTAAGTACATAAGCATCAATTTGATGGTTCCCTACTCTGTAAGAAAATGTCTTGACGTATTCCATTTAATCCTTAACTGGATGCTAACTTGACAAACGAGATGCTGAAATGGACAGTAATGCTACCTCTAACAGTTCAAAATGGCCTATTTGCAACAACGTAGATATGTTTTGAAAAAATATGTTGCGTAACTTGTTAGATAATACCCTCTAATTCAAAAAATGTAATGAACATTATTTCCAGTATTAATAATTGTATAAACATATGCACAACGTTTTGTGCAAGCGGGCGACACCGCTCGACTGCCCAACCAGAACACCTGTATTGAACACTAACCGACGGAAAAGTATGAAGTGACGAGATCATTAGAATACGGCGCGGACAACGTCACGAGATGGCTAGAAAGTCGATATCGGGTTGATTCTGCGACAACTCAATTAATTTTATGTATGTTTTAGGGCTTCATGTCTCATTATCACCAGCATGCACATGGAGAAACGCCTCGTCGTAGTAATATTACAGATGACATGAAGAATAATTTGAAAAAAGAGGAGGAGAACAGGTAAAGAGTTTTGATATTATTTATTTATTTATTTATTTATTTATTTATTTATTTATTTATTTATTTATTTATTTATTTATTTATTTATTTATTTATTTATATATTTATTTATATATTTATATATATATTTATATATATATTTATATATATATTTATATATTTATAATTATATTTATATATTTATATATTTATAATTATATTTATAATTATAATTATAATTATAATTATTTAATTATAATTATTTAATTATTTATTTATTTATATGTGTGTTCGATTGCTTGTTTACTTTTTTTTATTCGAGTCCTCTAAGAAACTAGTAAAAGATTTATATTAATACTAATAACAGATTAATATTAGGTACGACCGACTGTCGACAGTCTAAACTCACACAAAAGACCGCATGTTAGCCTCTCCTTGACCCAGGTGACTCGCGCCCTCAAACAGGGCGCACCAGAGAAAAACATATGTAAAAAATGTCTTTGGTTCTTGCAAGGTTATTGGTTGATTAGTAGAACGAGACCATAACAGCCGGCTGCTAAATAGCACGGTTCTGCTCATCGTCTGTGTATATTCTCATGTGGATCGATTATACGTATTTCATTGTATCAACATTCTCCCTATCTTATATCTTTCGTTTGTCTTGCCAGAAGTTCTAATCCAGAACACAACGAATCGAATGTAACCTTCTACGATGATTCAACCAGGAGTGACCCCGTCGATGAGGGCGATGTTGAAGATATATGGGGACAGTTCAGAAATCGACAAAATCTGGTTGATTTGCATCACCGATGATATATATACAAAATACAATGCATGACGTAAGGTTCTTTTCTTCAGTAATGTCAATGTTTCTGTTGTGGCCAGGGTGCTGAGGAAATATAAAATTTCAACGTTATCATGTGTTGGTGCCTGTACAAATGTATTTAAAAAAAAAACGTACATACTTCCTGTATGAATTCATATACATTTGCGGGTGATTCTCGAAATGCGGGTATAGTAGAATAAGACGTATAAGCCTTCAACCAGAAATGGCATGCCAGAGGAGGCGGCACAATTTTTTGCATGGGTGTTGGCAGATTTGCTCACCAACCTTGCGCCGAAGGCGTGACCTAACTAGCCTGGGGAGTCCGGGGGCCCAATTTGAAATCTAGACCCTCTGAAATGCTATTTCCTGCATTTTGAACCGCAAATTTTGATGACCCAAAGGTTTTCAGCTTGACTTCCCCCACCAACATTTTTTTCGAGGGGAGACCGTCCCTCCCCCCGCGCCGCCGCTACTGCATGCACTGAAACATTCACCAGGGAGTCGTATCCATTCAACAATTTAGCCCTATATATCTAAGGTACAATCGGTACCCAGTCCTGTGTTTTTCATTCAGGTGAGATTGTTACTATTGTTAATTAACTATTGTTAATATTGCTGGGCTCGGACGGTAACCCGATATTTCTGAAATACGGATGGTTCCCAATAACATGTTGCTTAGATGGGACGGTACCTAATTCCTTATTGCTGCCTGAAGTGTTGCCCCATACACCTGAGGTGATAGGTAAAGCCCAATATTTCTGAGTGGGGATGGTGACCCTATATTGCTAAGATGGGACGTTAAATTCAATATTGTTGAGGTGAGAAGCTAACCCCGATGTTGCTGTGGTGGGACGGTAACCCAAGGTTTCATTCTATGTCCTAATTCTCTTATTGGCTATGACGTAATTAAATCTAGTGGCGCTTTCAACTTTTGTTTATTTGCTGATTATACAAATCTTCAGCAGAAGGGCATAGTATTATGCATAATCTGTCGATAGAGGGCGTTTTAAAAACTACGTGAATCGCATATAGGAAACTAGTACAGTTTATTAATCCCAAGATTGGAAAATTACCACGAATTCGTCATTACGTCTCTATCACTAATGTTACTCTTTTTACACATTGAAATGAAATCTATGGATATACCTATCATACTCTACTACAGCTACTTAAAAGAGTAGCATGTCATTTTAGTTAATTTAGCTAACCTGTAATTTCGCTAAATTAAGATGTCGCTAATTTAGAATAAAGTATATTCTCACCATGAGATTGTTGGCATTTTAGCAAAATTATTTTTTGTTAATTCATGTATTGAGTCAAATTCCCTAAAATGTGATTTACAGTAATTTTGCGGCTCTGTAAATACCAAACCTGTCTGTTTATCTTCATCCTTAAAAACTATCCAACAGCCAGCCAACTTATTTGCTCACAATGTTATCCATTACGCGGACCATTTTATAGGTATGCATCTAAATCAATACCAAGTAAAAATTTGTCAATCCCCAAAATAATATTTAATTTAAATTTGCAGTAAACGGAATTATACTTAATTAGTCGTACACTCCACAATTGAATTCAAGTCTGACATCACATTTCCTCTACCATGGCATCCTAATTTACACATTTCAGTTTCCATTCAATTGTACACACTTTTGCATATCACTTGGTGTTGTGCTTTATTTCCTTTAACAGTGTTTATCTTTTATCCCCCCACCCTACCCATTCAAATTAGTATCATAGTGCTAATTGCGGGATTTGTATTTCAAAACCTGAGGGCGCCCTTTGACGACTTATTATTCCACATTCAGTGCACTGGTGGTACTTTCCTTAAATGATGATTGGTTACCCAAACCAAAATTTAGTTCCAATAAACTGCGCGGATACACTGTAAAATATTTTTCAACGTTGTTTATGTCTCTGTCAATTATTGTGCAACGTTTTTCTCGTCAAGGACACTTCACAACTCCCCCTGAACATATTGCCTGGCATTTTATGACCTTGGCAGTCCCTGGATTTATTTCTAATGACAACGACCAGTGACGTTGTTATACGAGTCTCGGTAGCTCCAGCCGGAAAGGGGCGGTAGCGTCTTGTCAATTAAGTTATTACCAAACATTCAAGTTACAAAAAAGGCGCATCAACAAACACTCCTTACCAACAACACACAGACAGACACAGCCCGAAAACTAGGTTTGTGTTTGTCCATCAAATCACCATGAAAAGGCCGCATAAAGTAATACAATGTAAATTTTAATAACTGCAAAATAAAAATAAAAATTTCATGTTTATAACTGTTTTAAAATATAGACATATTTTTCAATATTTATGACTATGTTTTACATAGAGTCATATTTATAAAAGTAATTTATAACATTCTAACTTTATGTATATTTGACACAGATGATTAAAGCGGGGGAGTCGTCACCTGCGCATGCGTCAGATGGCCATAGCGTGTCATTGTTTACAAACAAGTGTCTACACATGAGCCTTTGCGTTTTTAGCGTGTGTTGTTATCGTCAATTCCCGCGCGTGCGCAGATGACGACCCTCCCGCTTCAAAATTGCGATTACAATATAATCTCCGCGAAAGCATATTTTTAAATTTGTAAAATATTCACAATGTAAACGTACAATAAATACAAAACAAAACAAAACAGATTTTTGTGGATCACACAAATCTGATTTGTGGTCAATTATTTGTCCCAAGATTTGTCCGGTAACCCGGGAATTTAGATTATTGCGTGAGCTAATGAAAAATACAAAACGAAAACATAGGAGCAATCTTATATTCGTAGTTATAAAGGTGAAATAAACACTTCAGGTCAATTCCATTTTGAGGCATTCAAATTATGGTTGTACTGCGCATGTCTCGTCAATGCTCCACTGTCCATCGTTCATCACAGGAGGGCGTTTAAATTTCGGACCAATGAGACAACACTTCGTGACCAAACTCAACATTTCTGTGGACCTCTAAACACATTTGAAAGTTTTACATTTCAAAATAAAACGAAAGTGTACTACACTATCGCTGGTCAAAATATCAGACATTTTTTAGTTGTCTGACACAAGCTGGACAAAGCTATCCTAAGACACAAACTGTGATGTAATATTTGTACTTATAGCACCATGAATACACCGCATAACGCCTTGTGCGATGTGACGTTGAATGTAGGTCGGATTAGATCCTTTCTATGGCATTTACAGTATGTATTGAGTTGTATCAATCTGTATGAACAACTACGTCTTTCGGCAAAATATACTACTAATGAAGAACCGTTGTGTCACATGAATAATCGACCTACCCATAGCAACAACGTCGATTAAAATGGCCTATCAAACTATGGAGTTATCTGTATTACGTGTACTACCTACGTATAGGTGAGTATAGATGGAAGACACTCTGCAGTTCAGTACAGATCGTGTTCATTGGTCGACTCAGTACTTCCATGACTCAATTTCATTTGGCGTGTCAAATTTTAATAATGCGCAATTATGGACCTGGTTTATCAGCCCCATTACCGCGAATGTCGTTAAATTCACTCACGTGCGGTGGTTCAGTTGAAATCTTGCAACCATCAACTCAGTACTCTTACTTCGTCTTAGTTCGTCGCAGTACTTTATAGCTTTCACTTTCGTTATTGTTGTTGCAGAATATCTTATCCAGTTCTAACGCCAGATTCTGTAGCTCTGGGTTGTTCTGTATATGGGGCTTGAGTTCAGTGAGTGTCGGCGGGGGTGGTGGATAACTTGAGCGACGTTTAGCGGACGATGTTCTACAGTCCTTTAAAGTACGCTCGTCAATGGATAACACCCTGCACATATTCTTTAAGGGGTCCAGACTACGTGCATGACTTCTACGCGATTCAGTCGATTCTCTGCAATTGATTATAAATGATTGATTGGTTACGATTGCATAGGTAATCGATTGCAATGGTTAGATATGCCTGACACACAAATATAAAGAGACTACATTCTGTGTTCAATCTTACTTATCATGCTATGTGTTCACATTACAATCATCACTACATTCTGTGTTAAATCTTACTTAGGCTACACCGATTTAATTTTATGGATGACATCCGCGCGCGCATTAGTTTTCGCGTGTTCTCAAAAAAAAAAAAAAAAAAAAATCTCCGATGACGAGTCTCCACAGATCGGTTTTCTGTTCGGAACTTGCCGACTCATATTGTCGCAAAGCGCC